AAAAAAAAAAAAAAAGAAAAGAAAAGAAAAGAAAGAATCCAACCATCCCACCCATCGACTCCACCATCTAGTTACCAATAACCTCACCAACGTACCATCTATACAGACAGGACCACCTAGTAACCCCTACTGACTCGACATAGCCCACAAGGCAAATCCAACACCCGAGCCACCTCAGATCACTAGCCACTTAGCCAACCACCTAGCCAAAAACGTACTCCCAAACGAATCATAAAAACCCAACCCACAACGTGATCGGTCTCTCCGTCCATCCCAATCTTCAACCTAATAATTATTGACCTTCCCTACACTCCGATCCACACACTACATTCACCGACCGACTCACGCACCGCCAGTTAACAAACCAACTGACTCAGTATTAGGCAGATAGTAGGGACTAGAAAGTACCTTGGCATTAGGATAGTCCTGAACGATCAATTGAAGTAACAAAACTATTAAACTTAAACCTCGGCCTAGTAGCCTTGTCTTTGATTTATTAGTCAGTCAGTCAGTTAGTTGGTTAGTATTTACCCACCCAGTAAAGAGCTGAGAGTCGGGAATGGGAGATACCACCCAGGTAGTTCGGAAACCAAAGTCGAATGACCCTACAACCCACCAGACCAACCAGGCTAATCAACAGTGAAATCGGACAGCCAGAATCCGAGACTTCCAGTTGTATCCCAAAACTAACCCCATCAAGCCTAGTCACCCCATCCCTCAGCGACCGTGAAAATAACCTCCACATCGCAGGGTTCTCGATGGCGCCGTGCTAGCCCGCATTAGGGTGGTTGATGGCGCTTTGGGCGTTGCGGTGGTGTGGTCAGCTTGCTGCACTTCCTTACGGAGTATGGACTACACGAGGTACTAACTAACGCTACACTACACTACGCTACATGACCAGAGCTGAGGGGGTGGGTTGAGCCGCGCGCGCGATTGTTGGGATGAGGGAGGGTTTTTCTTCTGATTTTCGTGGGATTTTCTCTATCATTCTTGCTGTTGTTGTTGTTGCTTTTGTTGATGGTCATGGATTAAGGTTGGGTACTATGGTATACTATACTATAACTCTTACTGACTACAAATACTATCATTTTAATGTAGTATGATATGTGCAAGTCAAGGTTGGAGGTAGCACCGGTACATTAAACATTGATGTGTGGGGATCCCCCGTGTTCATCTTTCTATACCCATGTAGATGCAGATAATAAACAAAACAAACCAATCATAAAACAGAACCAAAAGGTGGGCATAGACATATAAGAGGTGCAATAATAAACAATAGTAGTTGATAATAGGATCAATTGAATGAGTAGATCATTCTTGTTGGAGCTAGAAGAACAAGAATGCCGGACATATGGATGGATGCTTGTATGTACGCTGCCGGCGATATTAAACAGTCGAGGCGAGTCAGTGGAAACTGGCAGATAAAAAGAAAAAAAAAAAGAAAAAAAGCAAAAGAAACAGCCAACGCCAAGCTAATGCAAACCTGTATGTCTAATGAGCGAATGGAATAATAGAGCGAGTAGATAGTGTCGAAGAACGCTCCAAGAATCAAATGAATGAATGGTCGAAACGAAGGACTTTTTTGATAGGTGGGCGTGATACCAACAGTGGTTGGAATCAGAAAAACAGAATGAGATGATGAAATGAAAGACCAAAATGCCCTCCCGAACTCCGAGCGAGAATTATAAAGTTTCACAAAGCAAAAATGCATGTTGAGGTGTGGCGCCAGACAATGCTCCCATGAATGAATGGAGCATATGTGAGTTGTTGGTGTTCCCGCATGTGATGTGTTCGAGTCCTGTCGATCCTCTCTCCCCCCCTGCTTCATCTGCAAGACGCTGCTGCATCGGAGGAGGACATGCAAGGCACCAAGGTATCTCTCCTATCTCTCCGGAGAGACGGACGGGAGCACCCTCAGTGTTTGGTGGTGGTCGAGGTGGCTAAATCTGCGTCGACGCGCCGATCAGATTCGGCTGCGAGATACTGGCGCCCTGGCCAGGCTCGAACTTCCGACGCTGCGAGGTAAAACGGAACATGGATAGACGGCGACTGAAGCGGCGGGCGGGCGGGGTCCAGGCTTCGAGCGAGAGGATGGATTTGGGCCGGCCGAACGGCGGCTGGGGAGTGTCTTCGGTGAAGGAGCCGGCGCTGGAGGCGCGCTCGGAGCCGGTCCCGTCGAACATGACGCTCGACTGGCGCCGTTTGGTGCGACTGCGCTCTGCCGTCGTGCGCGAGTCGATCTGCAGGGTCAGATCCTCCTTGATATCGTCGAGGGCGTGCGAAAAGCGGCGCAGGAGCTTGTTGTTGGCGGGGCGCTCCATGATGGAGGGTTCGCGCTGTTCGAGTCCGTACATGTGTAACGGGGTTGAGTCGGGGGAGTCGTGCCTCATTGGGGTGGAGTAGTAGCGCTGTTGATACTTGTGCTGTTCGACGGGGCGGCGCCGGGGGATTGTCGGCCAGACTTGAGTGGGGGCATGTTGAGAGATAGGACTGCCAGAAGACGAGGAGGTCGACTCGGTGGATGAAGAGGAAGTTAACATCTTTGGATGTGAATGGAGTAGTGTGGTGGTGGTAGTGGTAGTGGTGGTCTTGTCGGTAGATCTATCAGATATATGTACAAGTCGTGTACCAGGGTTGAGCGAGTAGGAGGGAGTAGGGAGTAGTAGGATACAAGATGAATGTACAAGATGATCAGGGTGAAGTCACTGGAGAAAAGGAAGATCGACCAAAACTCCCTCGAAGTAGACCGTTCGTTTGGTTTCCGGAGTAGAGACGGGGATTGGGGGGAGGTAATTAATTATAGCAATGGAGGGAGAAAACCACACTAAAAGAAAAGGGAAAAGAACAAAAAAATAAAACAGAGAAAGGAATAAAAATAATAAAAAGAAGAAAGAGCATTAAATGTAAAAATCCACCAAAAAGGCTAAAGGGGGAACAAACTGAGAAGGTGGATCGGTATAGAAAGGATACATCGATACCAACCAAGCTGAGCACTTCTAACTGCAAAGAGAAGGTCAACTCGGTCATCACTGATTCAAGGTCGCCGTTACTGGTATGGAATTATGGATCATTGCCAATCTGACTAGATACTTACTACCTAGATACCTGGTAGGCAGTGTAGTTGGACGGGTACTTCGAAGTACCTAGAGTAATACTGCATTACCACGCATTCTGATGTACTTTTTTGTGCTCCTCGATGTCTGATGTGGAGCGGAGATTTCACCATCCTTTCTCTCCTCTTCCTTTTCTGTCTTATTTTATTTTCCCTCTGTTTCTTTGATGTTATCGTATTGATTATTATTAATATCTATCAATTTAATTATATATATTTAATTTACAAATCCGTTGTTTTTATTTGTTATTCTTTGGTTCTAACGATGTTGGTTTTCAGGTGTGTTCAGGTTCCATTTCTCCCCCTTCCATTACCCACGGATTCATTGTTTGGTTGTGGTGGATAAAGAAACCCATTATCCTTCCTCTTCTCCGACCTTTCCCACTTCCCCTCGAACTTCCGAAACGAAAGAAAAAAATAAATAAATAGAAGAAAAAAAAAAAAAAAGACAACAACCCTTTCTTACCACAGGATCTGTATCATCCCTCCATCCTTCTTGTACCTCACCTACATACCAACCGTCCCTTTTAGGAACAAAACCGATTGGAGTTGGCCAGCCTTGTCTGAGCTGCTGATGGTGGCGGCGTCGACTAGTATCATCCTAGTCCCCCCTCCGTTTTTTGCCAACGGACGGGAACACATCTATAAATAAGAGTCAATCTGAAACATACATGCATTAATGGGCTGGAGCTCCCGTAATCCATCGGTATCACCCATACGAACCGTCGGATCCTCCCCTCTCCGTTCATCATTGACCCACGGATCCGAGGAAGACCGACAGACCGAAAGAGGGAGGAAGGAGGAGAGAGGGGAATGGAGAATCTACCTAGTCTCACTGCCTCCCTGGGATGATGTACACAGGAGGTAACATTCTGGAATACCCCATACTTCCCTGACTTGACATCATCTCCTTATTGCGATGTGGTGATAATGATGATATCTTCTGTCGATCTAGGGAAATAGTCCCGTATCCTTCCTTACCCCTGACCAGGGAGGGAAAGAGAGAGAGAGAATGAGGTGGTAACGTTACGGTCTCCTATAATGACTGGCTTACTCGTCACGTAATCTAACACAAACATCCCGCAGCTGAAGACTAACCGAGGGTGGTTTAGACCGAACTATAGTTAGTTGCTTGCCTGCTGAACGAGCCACATTGGAAAACTCTTGGCCTGCAAGGTGAAACAATCCCCTCCCCATCCGCTCTCCATGCCAATCATACTACGCAGATCTGTCCACAGCCACAGGGAGAGAGCTCAACATTGGCTCAAATCAATCCCCGAAAGAGGGACCATCGGTGGATCAACGAGACCGGTCATGGACGATGGAGATTGGAGAGGACCTTTCCCTGCCATACCCACGGATACACGGCCAACCAACACGGGAAATCAAGCCATCGTGATGGACCCAAACGTCGATCTGATAACATCCGACTCGAACTCCGTAGGTACTTACCGTTCCACGGCTCCCTCCTATTTGGTAGGAGAATGAATGGCCGTACCAATCTCAGGGGAAGAGAGGTTGATCATTCGACCAGAGTTGTTCGTTCCCTGCAAGGCATGCCTGAGGCTCTCAGATGGGTTTCCGGAGTTATGCCGGATGCATTGCATGAGTATTAATCGGGCCACCATGTTCCGTGCGCTCTTTTTCCTCTCTTCCTTCTGGACTCTCGGTGTGGTCGCACTCCGACACTCAATCTCAAACCCGCTAGACGGAGAGTCAGGAGAATATAGACATTGATTCATTTCGCAGAACTTGGTACGGATGGACACCCTTCTGATCCTCGCAGTATTGCCAATGTCACCCGTGCTCGCCAGGTCCGCCCCGTTTTAGATCCATGTCCCTCGCCATCCCGGTCGCCAACGACGTCTGGTCATGGCGCTGGTCTCCACTTTCATCGATGATCGGAGACGACGAATATGACAGCTGCAACCCCATGACAAGATTCGTCACAGATGCTGGCGATGGTGAGACATCCTTGTCTCGATTGGGCACAGCGCCATGGATGGGCCCACTCGGCATGGACAATGCTCCCCACCGATACAGGTGCCTGCATAGCATGGGCATGGAAGCTAGGTCCCAAGACGAGCCTGAGAGTCCATCGCTGCCGATCCATCGTCCAGCCTTCCCGGTCTATCATTCCGAACGGTGGGGAACGTTGGAATGTTTCGGAGACGCCGCAAGGTATTAATGGACATGGGAACCCCGACACCGCTGCTGCGGTGCCGCTGTCCCAAGGCTGCCTGGACCTGATGGCCCACGCTCCATCTATGGAAACAGGCCCAGCCAGAAATGGAGGGGCCCTAGCTTGCCAAGGGTCTCACAAGTGGACAATCTCAACCAACCATATTCCCGCCATTGGCGGGATTGTGCTACAACACGGCACCAGCCTGTGCAAGGTGTTTCTCGTTCGCTAAATACCCATCGGCATCTCGTTCTGTCCACCGCCGGGACAACCGAAAGTGTCTGATTGGCCTTGGAACACCGCTTGATTTGCAATGTTTACCTCGATATGTTGGTTGACAATGGTCCACCACATCCTCTCTGATTCACGTGGCGACCCCGCTGCGCAACCAGCTTGATGGGAGTAAGAACTGCGAGCCTATGAGGTTCGTAAGTCGGGCGCCGGAGACAAAGTCGCCAATTTCAAATCTTTGTTCCACAAACCCCAAAAAGAGTCCGAGAAAGAAGTAGATCAGATTACACACCACCTGAACAAAAGTGTCTCTCACTTGCACCAAGTTGAGACGACAGGCGTCCTGTGTGTAGCGAAGACCGTGGGGCATCACCCTCCGTTCGAACCAGTTTTGCACTGGCAATTTGACCGGTGTCACCATCACCATTGTCCCTGTCGTTTATTTGCTGGCTACGAGACGCCCAGATTGCCAGACCACCCAGGGCCTTGGCAAAGGGCGCTATGGCCTGTGCGAGCTACTCTCTACACCAGCGACCTCAAGTTTTCTCCCTAGGCCGCAACCGTTACTTTTCATACCTGAAGTATGATACCCCCTGCACAGCCGAAGTGCTGCGTCCAATTATAGTATATCGGCAGGGGTCTTGACGACAAAGAAGACGTGCGAAGGTCGCTCAGTCCTCCATCAGACTGACCCTTGCCGCTTCGGCGGTTGTAGCCAAAGATGAATGAATACCTCGTCCTGGATGATGACGCATGCTGCGTAATCAAGCTGTCACCGGTTGGATGTGGAAGGTGCGTAAGATTCCCGCGGGAGATTCCATATCCTTCAACAATAATACTTCCGAATCGATGAGAAATGGTACGTCCCATGGAACATGCGCCGCCTATCTTGATACAAAATAAGCTTCATCGTAAGTTTCAAGCACCGCCTTATTGCCTCGGGTATGGACTTCCTTGAATAGGGTTTGTGGGACGCAAGGGATGCCCAGGATAAGCCACCACTCGATGCCAGGGATCGATGCAATTTGCGCCAAGATGACAACATTCCTCATCTTACGAGATCTGACCACTGCCTCCGAGCCCCAAGAGGTGCATTTTATCCTACTTCGGCGCTTCTATATATGTCGCGTAGTGCGCCTGAAACGGAGGGGCTGGGCTGCGGACATCTCTGCTGGAACAAATACAGGGGCCTAATAGTAAACATTGAAATCGGTTTCGATGGTCCCCATAGACGAATCATACGTCAAAACTGGTTTCTTCAACGAAACCAGGACGCATAATGCCCATCTATTCTCAGAACGGGTGGCAATCCGACTTCCTTGCAGTTCGTGGGATTGGGTGCGGCTGGAGGCGCATCGTGCCTGCATGTAATAACCACCAGATTCGGTCTCCAGCCATGCTTTCCAATATCATCGCGCAAGGGCGACGTGGGCTGGCAGCGGCCCAGCGTCACAGATAACCAGCCTTATTATTTGTCCAGCTCGTAACCCGTGGAGATAGAGAGATCTCCAACGGCACGGAAACGCGTGTTTGAAAGGAATAAAGCGTCTTGGAGAACGTTCGATGGCCCCTGTCAACGTGGCTCATGTCCTGCAAGGGGGATGGATGTCTCGGGGGCGGTCGTGAGGCAAATGTTTACTCAGTTCCTTCGTCGGAGCATTCGCGTGCTTGCCGAATACAGGGAGGATTCATACCAAGGGCCCTGGTGTAGCTCGGCTCGCAGGGTTGGATTCCGTTTTAAACACTTCATCCATTCCCTTTCTGCCCACCGTTGCCCTCCACTCTCCTGCACGCAGCCTGAACCATCCACATACTTGCAATGGCTTGTGACAATCCACCAATTGATAACAAGGCCTTGGCGGAGACTATCGACGAGACGCAGCAAATTCCGGAGAAAGACCTTATCTCGCTACTCGACGATGTCGCCGACCGATTCCCGCATCACGATGCGATCCTTTCCCTGCACCAGGCGGACCATCTCGAGTTAGGGGGGACTGGATCTCCCGCGAGACAAACCCGATGGACATATTCGCAGCTGCGGAAGGGGAGTATCCGGCTGGCGGCACACTTGGCTGCCGAAGGGATGCGCCACGGAAGTCGCATCGTCGCGGTGTTCTTCAACGAAGCCGAATGGGCGCTTCTCTTTTGGGCGACGGTGCGGTTGGGATGTCAGTTTGTGCCGCTCGACCCTCGCGTCCTGGATCACAAAAAGGATGCGCTACACATTCTGGACAAGGTGCAGCCGGCGGCTGTCTTTGTATCCAATTCTACGATGGCGGAGCGGGTAGATGGGATCGTGAAGGACATGGAACATCGACCCTCTTTCAAGTGCGTTGCTTCGGCGATCGATGACGTGAATACTGGTCAGGGATGGACGACAATGTCGAAGGCCCTCAGCGACACGACGGACGGTGTGATCCCGGCTGATACAGTTGGGCTGAACGATATTGTTCTTATCCTCTTCACGAGCGGAACCACATCACGACCCAAGGGGTGTCCGCACAGTGCGATCACAATTGGATCGCCCGCCTTGATGGTGATCGACCACTTTGGGTTGGATCCAGGCCACAGCCTGTGCCAGCACCTACCGTCCTTCCATATCTTTAATATCTTCCTCAGTCTTGGCTTTTGGCTGAGTGGTGCGACGGTCGTTCTGCCGAGCGCGTCATTCGACCCGGCCAGCTGCTTCCGGGCCTTCGCGACCAGCCCCAAAATGCACGTTCCGTGCGTCCCGTCGATGGTACAGGCGCTGACAACCTACGCGTCCTCGGCCAATAAAACGGCCACTTCCTCTCCTTTCTCCATCCTTCTAGGCGGCGCCCCTCTTACGCCGGACATCCTGGAACTCGCCCGCACCCTAGGAACAAAGAAGATCGTAGTCGGATATGGGACAACAGAAGGCGTTGGGACAGCGATGAATGTGATGGACGCCAACAGTCTCGTTGTTGTCGACAATGAGGTCTGCCTTGGGACAGTGAAATCTGGCGCTCGGCTGCGGTTCTGCCAGCCGGGCAGCCGCTTGCCGGTCTCGAGAGGACAGATCGGTGAGGTGCACCAGGGAGGCCTCCCGGTGTTCTCGGGGTACCTGGATGGAAGCCCCGAGGAACTAGCCATGTGCTATCAGGAAGAGGGGGTCAACTGGTGGGCCTCCGGGGACCGGGGGTATCTGGACGAGGAGGGTCGCCTTTTTCTCCTTGGAAGGTATAAGGACCTGATCATCCGGGGGGGCGAGAATATCTCTCCTGTGAAAATCGAGAATTGTCTTGGGAGGATGACTGGAGTTCACGTATGTCCATCTCTCAATTTTGCTCTCTGCGTCTTCTACTTTGGGACTAATTGCGCTTTAGAGTGCCTATGTGGTTGGCGTTGCTGACACTGTTGCCGGCGAGGTACCGGTGGCGGTCATTACAAGAGACAGCCAGACACAGGTCGCTACCAGCGACCTTCAGGCTGCTGTACTCGCAGAGCTTGGTCGATCATTTTCGCCCACAATGATTTTGGATTTGCACAAGGATCTAGGGAAGGAGGAATTTCCGACGACGACCTCCGGTAAGATACAGAAGCCTAGTCTCCGCCAATGGGTAACGGACTACTTGGAGCAGCGCCGCAAGATCGAACAGTCGTCCAACGACGTTCTCACCGAGCTCCTTGAATGCTGGTCTGCTGTGACAGGTCTCGCGCGGGAGGCGATCAACCCTGATGCTAGCATTAAGACTTTTGCGGACAGTATGATGATCATCCAGTTCTTTAACATGGCCAGCCGGAAACTCCCCCGATATGCCAATAGCACGCTCACGATCTCCGACACCGTTCGCCAGCAGGCCGAAATGTTACAGCAGAAGAAGCCAGAGCCGACCGAGGTCATTGTCGGGAGTAAATGTCCCGACCATGAGGCCGAGCCTCTCGACCAACTCCGGGCCGAAGAGGTAACGGCCTCTAGATTGGCACCGCTCGGTTTTGGATGGAAAGACGTCGAGGAACTCATCCCCATGACAGACTACTTCAGTTATTTTGCCCGGATCCCAGTCAGACCATACCATTGGAACCCACGCATCGCCCTGGTGGTGGACTCGTCCATCAGCGAGGCGGAGCTGAGACAAGCTCTCTACCAGTGGCTAGAGCGACACCCTCTCTTTCGTGCAACGACTGTCACTTACGACGACGACCTGGACCTGTACGTAGTGATGAGCCCGAGCTCCGGCTGGTTGGAAATGCAAGTAACCGACGGCCCCGCCGTCGACAACGTCGCTGCGCTCAAGTCTTATCGCCTGAACGACGCTTCCTGGGACTGGCTCTCTCGGACTGGACCTCTTTTGAAAGCCACTCTCGTCCCCCTTCGCGATCCTCCGGGTGTAACTGGAATCGTCCTTCACATCCACCACATCATGTTCGACTACCACAACATTCACCGTGCCCTCCAAGACCTAAGGGACCTCGTCAGTAATCTCAGCAACAACAGCAACGCCCCCCTGCGACCCTTCCATCACTACCGCTCTTTCGCCCGCAGCTACAGAGCCTACCGCAGCAGCTCAGCCGCATCGGAAGACGTCAACTTCCACGTGGGCCGCCTACGCGAGATCTCCAAAGACCCAGCAGCCATCTGGCCGCCCCTGCGCCAGGACAGCGACCTCCCCCCGCTAGACCCATCCAAGCGGCGCGCGTTTGACACCATCAGCCGATCGGCCCGCCTCCCCGAGATAGGGCACGTCCAAGCCCGGGCGGGCGTCTCAGCAGCCATGATAGGAAAGTGCGCCTGCACCCTCGTCAACCTCCAATACACAAAGGCATCAGAAGCGATATTCACCACCACCCATTCAGGACGCCTGTGGCCCTCGCTACCGTCCTCACACGACAACCACAAGGCCACCGCCCCAGCCCACCCACTCGAAATCGACGGCCCAACCCTCGTCTGGCGCGTCGAGCGCGTCCCCGCGCCCTCACCCCACGAAACAACCATCCAATTCCTCCGCCGCGTCTCCAAATCCCAAGACGAAATGGTAGCCCACAACCACGCGCCCCTAGGCAAAGTCCTGCACGGCCTGCTCTCCCAACCCTCGCAATCAGAAGGGGAAGAGGAAAAAGCAACCAGCACCGCAGACACGACCCTCATTAACCGCATCCTCTTCCACCAGCTCTTCAACTGGGTCCTCGAGAAGATCAACAACGGCAGTGTGAGCAGCACAGCGGATTCACCCCTCCGAGTCGTGGACATGCTCTCTCAGGCGGATCTGAGCCTCGTCTGGGCGCCTTGTCTCCGCCCGGACAATGTCTGTGGGCTGGATATTCGCTACCGTCATGGGCAGTTTGAGGCGGGCGAGGTTGAGAGCTTCGCAAGGGAATTCTTGGATACTATGGCTTGGTTGGCGGAGCCCGGGAATTTGGATAGGCCTGTTGTGGAGTGTGGAATTTCTTGTGGGGATGTTGCTGCTGCTGCAGATGGTGTTGGGAATGGTACTACTACCGCAGCAGATGATGTTGAAAATGGTGCTGCAGACGGTTTTGAGAATGGTAATACTACCGCAGCAAATGGTATTGGGAATGGTGCAGTGGGAGACGGTGCTGGAGATAGTGATGAGAAGGATGACGATGCTGATAATGATGGTCGACGGAAGAGGAGAAAGCTGTGTACTTGATTTGGTTTGATTTGATCTGGTTGTTCGTTGACTGGTTGGGCTTGTGTACTTGTGTTTGAAATGTATACTAAGAGGGGTGTCTATCCTTTGATATTATGATAACTTGTTGAGTTGTTTGAGTTGAATTGTAGACGCAATTAGATATAGTACTCATTCTTTTCAGTCTCAGTCTACCATCTTAACATCTATCTATCTATTTGTTCACTTACTGTAAGTAACGGAATTGCAAACTAAAGGAGTATACTAGAAGAACAAAACAACAGCCAAAAAAGAAAGAAAAAAAAAGGAAAAGAAGGAGAGAAACGATATAAATCAACCCCTCCCAGGAACCTCCAACTTCGACTTCCCTAAGCATAGCTTGGCAAGCTCCGCCACAGACGGACAATTGGTGATATCAAACAGACTCAGCGACGCCTCCATCTCCCGAACAATCCACTTCCGGATCCCAATCGCCGACAGCGAATCGATACCGCTGACCATGATCGGTTTTCCCCGGTCGATGTCCTCCACGGGGCACATGGCTACCTCTGAGATCCGGTGAACCAGGGCCGTCTCTGCGGCATGGATGGCTTCGTCGTGGGTCCTCGCCATTTTGATCAGTTCGCCTGGGGATTGGATTTTCGCTGCGATGGTGGCGGGGCAGTTGTCGGACTGGGTGGTGGTTGTGTTGGCGGAGGCGGCGGTGGCGGCGCGGACGAGGTGGGAGAATTTCGGGTCTGAGAGCCACTCGAGGCGCTTTTGGACTGTTTGATCTGCCGGTACGGCCATCCCTGTTATTATGTGGTCGCTGACCGGGCGGGCTGGGTTGTTGGTGAAGATGACGGCTGCGAGGAGGCGGTGGAATTCTCTCTCCGTGATGGCTTCATTGCCGAAGGTGTTGCGGACTTGATCGCGTTTGGTTGCGTCCGTCGCGAGATAGCCTATGTCCCAGAGCGGGGCAAGGTCGATGGTCGTGAAGGGCGTTCCTTGGGCGCGCTGCGACTTGGCGAAGGCGTCGAGGAAGGTGCTCGCTGCTGAGTAGGCCGCTTGGCCGCGGTTGCCGACGATACCGGCGATGGAGGATAGGGCGATGAAAAAATCGAGTGTGCATCCTACTGTCTCGAGGACCTGGCTGAGGTTCCAAATGCCATGGACTTTGGGGCGGATGACGGTGTCGTAGTCTTCGAAGGTCATGCGCTCGAATAGGACGTCCTAGTTGCTGTCAGTGCTGTGGGTTTTCAGTCTATCAGTTGAGGTTGTGCTTACTCGTAGGATCATGGCGCTATGGATAACTCCCACCACGGCTGGCATCTCGCGTAGCTGACCCAGGAGCACTGTTTCGACTTGGCCTTTGTCGCTGATGTCACATTGCACGGCACGGACGTTGATGCCCTTCTCTTGCAGGTTGTCCATTTGTCCCTTGATGGCTGCAATGCTAGCTTTTTGACGGCACACGAGAATAATGTTTCGTGCGCCGTGGCTGGCCAGCCAGGACGTGATGCTTTGACCGAGGCCCCCAGAAGCACCGATCACAATATATGAACCATCTTCTCTGAGATGCTCCGCCATCCGAGTAGCCGGGCTCACCTATTCCAGATTAGCAAAGAGAAAACATGCTACACTTTGTTGCATCGGTTGTTGGGGAGGGGAGAGCTTCCGTGCTGTAACCCCATATCTACATACCTTAATCATAGACTCCTTCCGAAGCGAAATCACAACCTTGCCAATGCTGCGCCCACTCTGCAGCATCTGGAATGCAGCCTCCACATCCGAGACGCTGTACCGCTTAATCGGGATAGTAGGCTTCGCAAGCCCATTCTCAAACAGCCCGAAGACATTGGAAAACAGATCCTGCATCAACTTCGGCCGGTCTCGCGCAAAGACGCCCATGTCTACAGCGGTGAACGAAACATTGCGGTCAAAGGGCAGCATTTCCATGTGCGAGTTGGCCATTATGTCCCTCTTGCCGATTTCGACGAATCGCCCGAATGGAGCGATGCATTCGAGCGAAGCCCGCATGGCATCTCCGGCAAGAGAGTTCAAGAGGACATCCACTCCTTTCCCGTGTGTAGCGAATTTGACACCCTCAACAAACGACAGATCACGACTGAAGAATATCTGGCTGTCCGGGATTCCATAGGTTTCCATAAGAAATTGCTTTTTCTCAACACTCCCCACCGTCGCGAAGATATTGGCACCAACAGTCTGTGCCAAGATGATAGCTGCCTGACCGACGCCTCCAGCAGCGGCATGGATGAGCACGCTCTCTCCTTCCATAAGCATTGCTGCGCGGTTCAAACTGTAGAACGCCGTGCAAAAGACGACTGGTATGATTGCAGCAACCTCCAGTGGCATTTCCTCTGGCACAACCCACGCGCCTGCTGCCCGGCAGCGAGTCTTGCTGGCTAGACAACCCTCGGTGATCGCGCAGATTCTGTCCCCGACCCGGAAGCCTTCAACGTGCTTGCCAACCGCTGTGACCACACCGCTGCATTCGATACCAAACCCATCGACTGAAATTTGGTTATTCGCGTGCATCACGTCTTTGAAATTGAGTCCAACAAAGTGAACGTCGAGTTCGAGCCAGCCATCTTCCAGGGGTTTCAGGAGCTTTTCGTTGTCTGTGAAGTAGAGAGAAGAGAGCATTCCGTATTCCCTGATCGCCAACTGAAGGGGCCTCCCCTCCTGGTATAGCTGTTGCTGCACGCACGAAAATTCATTAGGATCTTGGTACACTGCGCGGTTGGTAAGAGTGTCCTGTGTGATGCGTGGCACAGAGACGATGCCCTTTCGAGAAACAAACTCAAGATCAACCCAGTCTGTGGGAGCTTCTGGTCCAAATACGTATTTAAACACGTTGAGTACATTGTCAACCACAGTCTGCGTTGGGGATGTTTCGTCAATATCTGTGTCAAGTGTCGCCAAAGATAAGCCTGTTTCCGAGCGGACTGTTCTTATAAGACCGGAAGACATGTTGGCGGCAGCATTTTTACATCCGGCATATGCGTCACGAACAATCCACAGTGCTCCAGAGGCTGTTGTCAGAAGATCTTGGATCGATTGGAACACCTCTGGTGTCGTTTCCGACAGCAATGGTCGCTCCACTTCCCCGACAAATATACACAGGTCTTCAACCTTCGTGTCTTGGGTCAGCATCTGTATCCGGACTGTATTGCCAGTCATAGCCTCGACTCTCTCTGCGAGGGCAGATAGAGGGAACCATTCCAACTCTTCATGGAAAACGAGGGCTACCTTTCGACCCCACAATGTGTTCTCTGACCTGGCAGCGGTGAAAACACTCCAAGTGCTTTCCACAAGATCCCCAGGAGCATCATTGACCGAAGTATCAGCGCCGGAAAATCCGGCTGTCTGCAGCATTTTGGCATATTCTCCTGCGCGATCAGATCCGTTTCCGGTGTCATTTTGTCTTTCTGCCAAGCACTCAGGCATTAGAAGAGCTTGAGGCAGGTGGATACTCTCTGACAGAGAATCTTGAACAGCGAATAGCTTTCCGCCGCTCTTGAGCACTTTGTGGATATTTTGCAACACCTGCTCCGTAAGACAAGCACGATGAAGATGGACAACAGCGGCGTCGAATGAGCGCGCCTGGTAACCCTGACCTAAAAGATCAGTTTCCAGGTCTAACGGCTGCACACTAACAAGATCACCCCATTCTTGGATCCTAGACCGAGCGCCTGCCAGTGAACTTTCGGGGACATTTCCTAAGATGTATTTTTGAAACTTCGGGGGCTGCCCTGTTCCTCCACCGCCGAGGCGCTCCAGAATAGGAAGTGCTGCGCTGCCTGTTGCAGCTCCAACCTCGAGGATAGCCATTTCAGGATTTTGGTTCGCCATCTTATCAATGCAGTCCGCCATCTGCTGATAATTTTGATGCAATGAGCCCACGTCCACGATGTACTTGCCCAGCCCGCCGAGCTTTTCTATGATAGACAGTGAATCCAATTCCCCTTGGAGAATCTGCGGAAGCTGGCTACCAAGGTCGCACACGATCTCTCCGGAAACTCCTAGGGCAGACACCTCTTCGACATTCGGGGGTATATCGGATGCGGAAAAGTTCGGATTGGAACACCACCCCAAAAACTGGGGGTGGCCTGCAATAGAAGTCTCCCCTTCTTGAGACACAGCCTCCACAGCTCGTTTGACGTAATACTCTGACGCCTCTTTGAGCAGCCTCATCTTTCTACTGTTTGCCAGTTCGTTTCCTTGACAGCCGGGTTCGCCGCCCGATAATTGATCCTTTTTCATGAATCCAACATGCGGAACCATGTCAAACTTGTAGCATAGCTGGCGCTCGGGCACAGCGCTCCCTGTAGTATCCTTATCGAGAATCGGCGTCATGACAAACCCTTCGGCTTGCAGTATCAAACCTTCGGGATTTGCATCCGAAACAGCCCATATATTCAGGTTCACAGGCTGGTCCGTGCTTAGTCTACTGGAACATTCTCCATAGATGCGCAGTCGCTCCCCGGTAGACACACGTGTCTGCTTTGGGACTGTAAGGTGCTTGATTGAAGATGGGAGATACTGCTTACCAAGATCTTTCGACCCAGCACCTAGCACTGGCCAAACAATCTGGAAGCATATATCAATCGTCGTCGGGTGGAGAAACAGCTCCACCGGGGATGGGTGGGAAATGTCCGAGGCAAGGTCAGGGAGTACGGCTGTGGCCATTGCATTATCCTTGTGGACGTAGCACCCATCCAACGCTTTGAAATATGGGCCATACTTGATCCCGTGGGCAATAGCCTCGTCGTAAAGAGCTTGAGGGCTAATTTCCCGCTTGCAAACTGTTGTGATGGTCGATAGCTTTTGGGTGACTGCTTCTGACTGGCTTTGGAGGAGCATCTCGCCATTGATCGGATTCGATTTCAATGAGTTCTGAACAGAGATAAGCCCGTGGCAGTTCTCTTCCCACCCTTTATTTTCCGTCCACGACGTAATGTGAAACTCAGTCCATGTACTCGATGTATTCCGCGTCCCTTCTGCATGAGGCTGCAGCGCGATCATGATCTCCACAGCACTTGTGTTGGGAACAACAAGTGCTTTGCTGGCTGACACTTCCCTGAGATTGAAGGTGTTGTAATCGATGTTGTTGATAATTGCCTGTTGCGACACTGCCTCAATCGCCATTGCGACATAACCAGCCAAAGGATATACGTTATATCCGTCAAATTGATGATGTCGCACCCAGGGGTGATCGTCTGCACGAAGGATCATCCTCCATTGAGGGTGCAGCTCATTTGACTCTACCGATCGTGCCCCAATCAATTCATTGCGGGGGAATCGTGGGTGGTTGATGTTTTGACCGATTCGCGTAGAATACCAGTAGGGCTTGGTGTGGTTCCACGAGTAGCGTGGAAGGTCAGTCAATAGACGGGGCTTTGGCGCGTCAGCCTGGGGGAAGTTGATCGCAGGGAAGTTGATCGCCTGGCTATGAAAAAATAGCATTCCAACCATGTCGTGGACTGCTTCCACGGCATCTTTGTCCTTGCGCAAACTGGCGATATAGCTCGGAGGGTCTGCAATACCGTCTAGTTTGAGGATGTCCTTGATGGGACTTTCCAGAGACGCCGACGGGCCTATCTCCACGAGACAACTAATTTTCGATGCGGACGAAGATTCTTTCAATAACGCACTCAGACCTGCAGAGAACAGTACGGGGGATATGAAATTTTCGATCCAATACGAGGGCTGAAGGTTGGAGCCGGCGAGTCGACGCCCACGTGCAGAGGAATAGAATGCCGTATCAGAATCGGTCGCCACTATGTCCTTAATAATTGCCCGATACTTATCCGCAACTTGCTCCATGTGGTGAGAATGGTATGCCACATCGACCTTCAGCCTTCGGTAGAATATCGACCTCGAATCTGCTAATTTCTGTAGTTCCGCGAGGCCTTCTTGGCTACCCGAGACCGTAATACTGCGTGGGCTATTGATGCACGCAATGGAAACACGTCCAAGTGTGACATCGTTCACCAAAGCTTTGGCATCATCCAGGGAGGTGCGCACGACCACCATACCACCCTTCAAATTGGCGTGATCCTTTCGTAGTGATTCAGCAGCCAAACCACGCCCGAATGCAAGGGTCAGGGCGTCACCGAAGCCTACGACACCTGCGGCGTATGCGGCTGCAATTTCACCACTTGAGTGGCCGATGACAGCTCTCGGAGTGACCCCCCATGAGCGAAGAAGGTCTGTCAGGGCAATTTGGATAGCCGTGCATGCAGATTGGCCGATCTTTGGGCGCGATAGCAACGACTTGAGCTCATCCTTGAAGAGTTCATCTGGATATGTTAGATCAAACTACCCAGTTGAGATATTGGAAATTACCCGTCAAAGTAAATCCAGCACGAAGACCGGAGAGATACTCATCTGCCTTGCGCATAGATTCCGCGAAAACCGGGTAAGCACCAAAGAGTTCCCTTCCCATGGCGTACCACTGAGCTCCCTGGCCCGTGAAAGCGAAAGCAACCGTTGCTACCTTGATAGATCGACGAGCTTGGATTTTACCATCTAAAACAGAAATCAATTCTTTCGTCGACCGAGCGGAGACCGCTGCTTTCCATGGCAAAACTGTGCGTCGCTCGCAAAGTGTATATGCCAAGTTTGCGATGAGTTGGTTGTCGAACTGTTCTGGATGAGCCTGCAAGTAGGCCTTGATTCCCTTGGCCTGATTGTGTACCGCATCTTCGTTAGACCCTGAAAAAACGTAGACTCGACGTATTGGTGGACCCCTTTTCCGCGGCACAAGAGAGCGTCTTTTCTGGAGGACAGGGGATTGTGCCGGCTCGGAAACTGGCGCCTTTTGCAAAATCGCCATCGCATTCGTCCCTCCGAGGCCAAAATTGTTGATACATGCGTATGACTTTCCCTTGGGCCACGGGACTAACTTGGTGGGCACCTAGACTCCTCATATTAATGATCGCAATCGCTTATGGTTTTTGAAGAGCAGTGTTGACTTACCTTCAAACCCCACCGGTCCATGGGGATGTCATCTCTGCACCGCTCGAAATTACAATTCGGTAGTACGAATCCTTTTTCTAGCATCATAATGGTCTTTACTACCGAGACAATACCGCTTGCCCCCTCCGCGTGGCCAAAATTCGACTTCACCGATCCAACCAGTAGGGGTGTCTCCCGTGGTCTATCATGCCCGAAGAACTCATGCAAGGCACGAGCTTCGATGGGGTCTCCAGTCTTGGTGCCTGTTCCGTGAGCTTCAACATAGCCTGTCTCGCGAGGGTTGATGCCAGCGGCCTGGTATACTGTCTCCATCAGTCTTTTTTGAGCTTTGCAGCTTGGAACGCCGATCCCCGGCGTATGGCCATCCTGATTGATTCCAGTGTTGGCTATGACCGCGCGAATGGTATCACCGGCGGCGATGGCATCATCTAACCGTTTGAGCATGACACAACCAACGCCTTCACCTCGGCCAAAACCCGAATCTCCTCGATGATCAAATGAGAAGCACTTGCCGCTATCGGAGAATAACCTATGCGAGGGTTTAGCACGTGTCGATGGCTCCACAGTCGCGGTCTCCAAACTACCTTGATAAAGAGTATGAGATATAATAATCGGGCATCAGGTTCAGATGACAGCCCCCGACCAGGGCATGAGTTGACTCGCCACTCTTCAAGCTTTGACACGCCAGATGCAACGCTGACAGACTGGAGGAGCATGCTGTGTCCACGGTCAAACTCGGCCCCGTGAAATCAAAGAAATGCGAGAGCCTGTTCGAGAGAAATGATGCGGCGCAGCCAGTCGCCTGAAAGGTCGGGGTATTCTGGAGATCCCGGAAATTGCTCAATTCATAATCGCTGAATGAGCCAGCGGCGAAGACTCCAACCCGTTCCCCTGCGACCTTCGCTTTCGAGATTCCGGCACTCTCAATGGCCTCATAGGCGCATTCCAGCATGAGACGCTGCTGGGGATCGGCCGCCATCGCCTCCTCCGCAGACATCTCAAAAAAGGCGGCATCGAAATGCGCGACATCGTCCAGGAAATGACCACCCCGGGTGTTCGTGGCACCCTGCTGATCAGGATTGGGATGATAGTATGCATCGACTGAGAATCTGGAAGAAGGGATCTCGGACCATGCACTTCGGGCTTGACAGCAGAATCGCCAGAATTCGTCGGGCGTGCTTATCTGTCCGGGCAAGCGACAGGAGACGCCGATTACCGCGATGGGGATTTGGCTCTTCTGAGCTTTATTATGATTTTGCATGGTGACAGTCCTCTGAACTCGAATTCATGCGTATTGGGTGTTGGCGAGATGCTCTCGAGGATGCAAGGTACCGAAGAGGAGGTCAATGGATTGTTCTCAAACCACGCATCACAGACCCAGAATAACAGTCAATCAAGGGATATATCTTTCCACAAATTGTTCATGACCCTGTAACCGAGTAATCAAATGACAAATCAGCGGTATGATGAAGTCAATCCAACAATGTTCACAACACGGACGGAGAGAAAAGAAGGATTGGGTCCCCGCATACCAGCCGATATCAACTCCCTCGGGGTGGACTGTGGAGGAAAACAGAGCGTGGTGGATCGTCCGGTTCTTCAAAATTTGCCATTTGGCTCGATGGAGCAAGTGCTTTTCTTCTAAGGGATAAATAGTGGATGCAGGCTGCACTTGGTATGCAGATAGCATCATCGTGGAGTGGTCGCCCGTCCAATCTTTGGCTTTTCTCCTTCCAACTAGTGATCGTCGTGGCTCTTCTTTCCAGTAGTCTTCCATACTAGCGGGCATTCTGGACCCCTGAACTTCATCGCGCGAAGCTAAGGGACCAATTTGTAAGCTCATTGGATCCAACAGAAGCCGACCGTTTTTTCCCTTTTCTTTAATTGTTCGACCAATCAACGCCGTTGTGTCATAGTTTTCCAGCTTCATGCACGATGGCCTTGCCTTACGGTTTCATGTCCCAACCACGTCAGCTGGATGATCTGTTGGACTGTTGGCTGCGTAGCTTCATCCCTTGCATCTCCGTCTCCACGGTATCCGATCAGAAAGGGAGTCTGGAAAGGAGCGGTGAAAGCGAGCGCATGAAAGGATGAAAACACAAATGTCGACCGAAGCGAGTTGATACATCATCGCAAACGGTCCGAGAGTAAACTCGAGTTGAGACACCAACCCCAAAAAATCCGGATGCCCATACCCTGACTCGAACTCGTCATGACGATGGCCTCACGCCGCCCCGAGTACAACCCCGACCGGTTCAACTTCACCAAAAATGTTGTGGACTATTGGAGTCAGAAGGGCGATGACCCCGTCGCGATGGTGTGGAATCCGCCCGGCGCCCGGGAGCCCGGCGACACGGATTCCTTCCACTTCAGCCATTTCTCCCAAAGAGCGCGCCAGGTCGCGGTGGGCCTGCGACGTCTGGGAATCCAGAAGGGAGAAGTCCTCCTACTGGTGTCCTCGAAAACCCCGGACTGGTAAGGGAAACCCTCGCCGAACGAGACGGGCTCGACCTCCCGAACTCACGCACTCGCAGGTACGAAGTTGTCTGTGGCGCGATTCTAGGGGGTGTGGCGATCTGTCTCTGTTCGTCAGCGCTTGTATCGTCGGAAATTGCGCTGCGGGCGCAAAAGGCACGGGCGTCGGTGTTTGTCGGGGACGCCGAACAAGTGAGGAGGTTTGTTGCAGCGCGAAAGTGTCGAGAGACCCATGATGCAGTGCGACAGATCGTCCAGATCGGGCAATCGGCACCTCCTGCCGCGCCTGGAGTCAACGTCTATCGCTCGTTTCTTGCTGGCATTAACCCCCAACAAGTGAATGTTGCGGACTTTAAGACTGAGTCTGGTGATGTCTGTTTGCTGTATTTTACGTCTGGGACAACGGGCCAGGCGAAGCTAGTCAAGCATAACCAAGTTTCATACCCATATGGTAAGTACAATCAATCTACGCGATTCGAGAAATCCTTGTAGCTGAAAGCGATACAAGGTCACATAATTACTGGGGAGCATTGGCTGGACCTACGTCCAGGCCAAATGCTATGGAATTTGTCCGACCAGGGTAAGAAAGCCCACACCTACACTTCTCAAAGAAACCACAAATATCTAACGCCAACGGGGATATAGGATGGGCCAAATCCATGTGGGCCTTCTTTGGGGCATGGAGTCAAGGCGGGACCATATTCCTAGACGCCCACGGGTCGGCCTTCGAGCCAGAAAGAACCATCAATCTACTACATCAGCAGCCCATAACGACATTTTGCGCAGCGCCTACTATCTTCCGCCATCTGGTAACAGACGCGAGCAAGAAGCTGTTTGCCGAAAAGCCCCCGAAGGCGCTCGAGCACTGCACCAGTGCGGGAGAGCACCTCGGCGCGCACATCGTACTGGAGTGGTATGAGATGACGGATGGGCTGATGATCTGGGACGGCTTCGGGCAGACCGAGACGTCGATCCTTTGCGGGAACTACCCCTTGGTTCCCCCGAGATTGGGATCGATGGGCAAGCCTCTACCGGGGGTGCCCCTGTGTGTGCTGAATGACGAGCGGCAGGTCGCCCATCCGTTCGAAGAAGGCGACATTGCTGTCCGGGTGTCGGACGATGGGACCGGCTTGTTCCGGGGTATCTTCGAAGGCTATATCCATGATGACGGCTCAGTGGTCAGACCGACGGTCACGGATAAAGAGGGCCAGTCGTGGTATCTGACGGGCGACCGGGCGCACTGCGATGAAGAGGGATATTTTTGGTACAAAGGACGCGGAGATGATGTGATCATCTCGGCCGGACATCGTATTGGTAAGGATTCACTGATGCATCCACCGTAGTCGATGAGATTTAAACGACTGATGATATAAACCAGGCCCAGCTGAAGTCGAGTCCGTCCTTCAGGCGCACCCAGCGATCCGGGAGTCTGCCGTCGTGGCAGCGCCAGACGAGCAACGAGGCTCCATAGTAAAGGCTTTTATTGTGCTACACGATCACCCTGGAGATTCAACATCCACGGTGCGATTGAAGCAGGATATTCGCGAGCATTGTCTACACCGCAAAGCGGCGCAGTACTGTCCCCAGAAGATCGAGTTTGTGGACCTCGGGTTTTTACCAAAGACCGTCAGTGGCAAGGTCATCCGCAAGGAACTTCGAATGCTAGAGAGGCTTTAAGGTTCGGTCATCAGAGTCATTGAAGTTTACTGGCGATTATACCGTGGTAGATCCGCAGTAGAGTAGAATATTCAAATTATATATGTGATCTTCAAACACCATTTACTGCAATTTTCGGTCTCAAATCTTGATTACAATAAGAATAACCGGGCTCTACTAACTATGTACGGTCTTAGTTGCGAACAAGCGTCGCTCCAAAGCGTTGAACCACCGCGCTGGCTTTGGCCGGATCAACACAACACTCCAGCAATGCGAGTGCTTGAGGCTGTTCGCATGCCCGAGAAAAAGCTTCATGGAGTTCCCTCTGTGAAGTGATTTTCGTAGCAAACATCGCGTACGGTTCAGAGTCGGATTTCGAGCACGAGCCCTTCCAAACAGCCTCTGCAAAGGCCGTGTAGTCCCAGCCTCCAATCCGGTTATATGGACCGTGGTGGATTGCATCCTGCAATAGTAAGAAATTTAGCGTAGACAAAAGGCTATAGTAGGGGCTCACTTCAATTTGATAACCCGAGTTATTGACAATGACGACAATGGCATTGAGCCTATAACGAATCATAGTGCTGAGTTCTTGGCCCGTCATTTGGAAGCTGCCGTCCCCAATTACGACGATGGCCCGGCCACCTGGCCGAGCAAGTTGGCATCCCATCGCAGCGGGCAAAGACCATCCGGTGGATGAATACAACAGTTGGACCTGAAAGTCTGCTTGCGGGGGCAGTCGGACGCGGCTTGCCGCAAACCAGCTCTCACCAGCGTCGGCAATGATTGTATCTGTTGGGCTAACAAAGCCAGTGAGTGCTTCCACGATGTCATCGAGGCACACTTCATCGCCGAAGGGTACATTGTGCTGTTGCGCCGTGCCTTCTCGGCGATGGTGCTCGCAGATGTTGCTGTGCAGAGTGATGTCCGACGCATAGCGGGCCGGGATGTCTGACACGATAAGAGACTCTACAAATGTCTTGGTGCAGATATCGGTGATTTCACGCCCATCTGGAAGCTGTATCGAGCTCCCGTCAATAGCGAGCATGCGACTGCGCTCTTTTTCCAAATCTATCGCCTTGAGGGTGTGAAGGTCGTTCCAGCGGCATCCCAGAGTGACCCACAGGTCAGCGGCTCTGACTGTTTCTTCCACACCCGAATCAGAGACAATGGACCAGAAAAGCTTTCCACATTGTGGATGGGTCTCGCTGATTCGAGATTTCCCGTCCAGCAGATAAAACGCAGCACATCCTAGTGCACTTACTAGGCGGTCTATAGCTTCCACAGACAGGACGCTGCGCAATCCACTTCCCACTAGAATGACCGGGCATTGCGCAGCCATCCATGTGTCCCTGAAAAGATCAATCGCTTTCACGTTCTGATCCAAAGTCGGTGCAACCTCAGCGCAAGGAAGCGGTGCGATGCAGGACGTCTGAACAAGATCTTTATGGACAATGTCGACGGGAATTTCAATATAGACCGGCAATGAGGCGCTGCGGCACTTCTGCAAGACGTTGTCGATATCCTGGGCACAGCTATCATTGTCTAGACGAATTGACGCACAGGTGACGTTGCGGAACATGCGCAGGGATTGTTCCTTGTCTGCGATACCCAACGAGTGGTGGACCCTCCCCCTGTGGCTGTAACTCCGAGAATCAGGACCTCCGCAGAGTACAATCACCTTCAGGCCTTCTGAATAGGCTCCCGCAATGGCGTTCAGGACGGACATGCTCCCGACCATGTATGTGACCACGACAACGGCGATCTTGGTATCGCTGGTACGGGCGTAGCCGTCCGCTGCGTATCCGGCGTTCAGCTCATTGCAGCAGTTGACCATGCGCAGGCGAGGGTTTCGGAGTAGCTGGTCCAAGAGGTCGAGATTGTAGTCACCTTAGAATAGATAGTTAGCACCCAAATATCTGCAGTCAGGGTGATACAAACCAGGAACAACGAAATAATCCTTGACCCCCAGTTCTTCAAACCTGTGGGCAAGTAAATCTCCGACTTTTCCTTTTTGCTGCATTTTTGACATCTTGAAATTTAGATACTGGATTCGGCGCCCTCAGAACAAGAATATGCGATCCAAGGGTCAGGTTTCCAAGGCTCAAGGCACGTTGACCACCCTGTGCTCGA